AATTCAGCTGCAACGTCATCATCATCAACCTCCAAACTTCTTGTACTGTTCGACCAAGGATTTAGTTCGCTCAATTCCCTGAGAGGCGTTGCGCTTTTTGGCAACCATCCTCGCCCTGCAATCGTCCATTTTGGCCTGAAGTTCCCTCATCTAAGCAGCCAAGTTAACCATCAAAGAGTCTTCAATCATGACTTCGGAAGAGATTTCTTTCAACTCGTCCTTAGCCTTGTTGATCTCCATGCGTAAAGACTCTTTCTCAGCTACAGCTCGAAGATATTGAGTACGCTTGGCTTTTAGTTCAGCATTCTTGGCCAGCATAGAAAGGACCTCGGAGTGAATGACTTTCAACGTCGCTTTAAATTCGACAGAAAGACTGAGCGACGAAAGCGTCAGTGCTTGCTCTAACTTCGCACTCAAGTGCTCAAGTTCATCCTTATGTCTGGCAGCACTAGCCCTTCCAATGTCCATATCCATGAAGGATACGTACTCAAATATCAACTCCTTCAAGAACTTCAAATCATCTTCTGAAAAAGCAGCAGGACAATCAGATGGAGCAGGGCGAGGCATTTGGACCTGCCCCCAGGAAGCGAACAAATCCTGGATAGAGCGCACAATCCTGTCAGCATCCTGCAAAAAAGATTGCCAATATTAAAAATCCTCACTACAACGAATAAGGTGGAAATAGAAATGAAGCAAAAAGAAAAACTATCTCGTCGACGATTGTAGAAGATGGCGCACCCTCAACCAAACTTGCCACCAACGACTCATCCATTCGTGAGGACTTCCCCTTGTCCAAACGAGACGATGTTGCCACAACGGGCGGACTCATAGGAATATCTGCAAAGTTCAAGAACAACAAATCAAAAACCAATGGCGCAAGCAAAGGTAAGACATCAAAAACTTAATTACCTTCTGCTTCGATGATTGGGGGGTCGACACCCTGGGAAGAAGGTGGCTCATCCATGGGTTGTGATGAAGACTCTGGGACTGGAGATGTATCTTTAAGCATGGTTCCATCACCAACCGGTTTGGATGAAGTAGCCTCAGCAGAGGATGATGGAGCAGGAGTTGTCGATGTCAAAGCCTTCGAAGGGGAGGTTGAACTTTTCTGAAGTCCAAAATATCATCAGTACACAGAAAAGTATCAAATGGGGAAAAGCATACTTGTAAATAGACCAATTTGATTACCTTCCTCCTGAGGATAAGAGGGGCATCATCATCATCATCCTCCAGAATGGAAGATGCTGAGGTTGGCCGTTTGCGACTTGGAGAACTCTTAGCCGTAGTAGGCCTGGCGGGGAGAGAAGAAGATGGGCGAGCAGATTGTTTAGCACGACGAGAAGGAGAGGGGCTCCGAATAGACAAAGAAGTGACCAAAACAGGAGGATGAGAAGAAATACTCAGTTGGTCTAATGAATGAAAGGCACGATTGGCCTCAGTCGCAAATAATCTATGCTTCACCGATGGCCAGAGTTGTTCAAAAAGAGGGTGGGTAGCATGACAAGAATTAAAAGGGGCTAATGAAAAGTGGCTTGATAAATGGAGGTTGCGAACATTTATAGCCTCTGCTTCCGCCTTATTAATGGTATGAAAACGGTCAATTAAGCTCTTCGACTAGCAAAGAGGAACATGCCAAGTTTGGCCAAAACCAAGCTGACGAACAAAAAATTGGGGAGCATAAATTTCTACCCCCGCTTTGGCATTGGTCCCAGTTAAGATATCATGGAAAAGCTCCCTCCCAGTTAAAAACTGGATCCAAATGAGCAGGGAGGTGCTCGCGCTATCTATAGTGGAAGGAGGATGTACATAGTTTGGAGTCAAAAAAAGAGGAAAAGGAAAGAAGGAAGAGATTGAATCTAAAGAATAAAAGAATGAAAAAATGTCCC